AGTTAGTCAGTTAGTCAGCTAGTTAGTTAGTTTGTCAGTTAGTTAGTCAGTCAGTCAGTCAGTTAGTCAGTTAGTCAGTGAGTCAGTTAGTCAGTTAGTCAGTTCGTTCGTGAGTTAGTTAGTCAGTTAGTTAGTTAGGCAGATAGATAGACAGATAGATAGGTTGACGCTCCAACCACCTTTCGACCCATCACTGGATTCGCTCTGCCATGCATCATTCCCAGCAACGAACCTCTCCTATAGGTTTCCTATTCTGAAACTTCCGCCACCGCCTTGTGCGGTTCTAACTGGTATGCAAATATATGCAATGGCAATATGTATATCATACAATCATACATGTACCCATACAAGCATGTCAAAACCTCATAGAACGTAAACAAAGCCGTGGTGACCCACAATCGCCAGGCGGCATTGAGAGCTGTCCGTCCACCAGCACCAGGCCGATTCCTGCACGATCATAAATCGTTATCATGTATGACATACATTACATTACATGACATTACATAACATAACATTACATTACATTACATAACATTACATTACATAACATTACATTACATAACATTACATAACATTACATTACATTACATCACATTACATAACATTACATAACATTACGTAACATTACATAACATTACATAACATTACATAACATTACATCACATTACATCACATTACATCACATTACATACATTATACCTACATACCTACATACCTACATTCCTACATACCTACATACATACCTACATACCTAGGTACCTGCATACCTGCATACCTACATACCTACATACCTACATACCTACATACCTAGCTAGCTAGCTACCTACCTACCTACATACATACATACATTACCTTACCTTACATTACGTTCCGTTCCGTTACGTTACGTTACGTCGCGGTACGTTACATTATATACATTACATGACATTACTTTACATTACATTACATGACATTACTTTACATTACATTACATTACTGTACTTTACTTTACATTACAGTACATTACATTTCATACATAGATTTAGTATCATCGTGACACCAACCAAACAGTCTCACCAGTTCTCACCAGGTTTGAATGGCACTGCAAAGCACTGCGACGTCTCGGAAAGGTGGTGCAGAGTGGCCATGGCCTCGCTTTCGCTTGGGCCTGAAGAAGTGAGCAAAGGAAACAAGATTAGACAAGCACATCAAGCACAAGCCCAATTGCTGCTTCATGAGGTGGATTGAGGCGGATTTTCTTATCGGACCTGGTGGATCTCCAAATCCTCAAGAATGCTGTCACCAACATCCTGAAGTTGGACGAGAATCAGTTGTCACAAAACCAGAACAGTGCATATGTTGACCCATGTTGACCCGGTGCAGCAGACGGTTGATATCTTTTGATGCATCATTGAATCATTGCATTTATTTTTTAATCATTATCATTGCAGGCAGAACGTTTGCCTTTGTCTGAATCGCCCAACCGTTCATGAAAAACTTGGGATATCTTGGGATTGAGATCCTTGGGATGGGTCAAAACTTCACCCGTGCCTCGGTTTCATCAAGCATGATGTCACCTTGAAAGGCTTGATGGTTGTTCAGGCCTGGAAGCGTCTTGGAATGTCGAGTCTTGCTGTTTGTTCTGATTCTGTGAGCTGCAGGCATTTGGACGCGCACAATCCACTGTTTCACTTCTTGAGGATTCAGTTCCGTTCATTTCCATTCGGTTACAATCTAAGAGACTGGCTTAGCCACAAGCACTGCTTTGGACCATCTGGTTTTTGTAGATATCGTCGCAGGGCACTTGCGTGGCGCTTATCGAGTCGCGAATCCTAAAGGCTGAAAGCTGAACCAACCACGGCAATCTAAATGTTTATCTGACAAGAAACAAAAACAGTCACAAAAATGCATCAATTATGGCATTCAATGGAATCAGGTGGACCCTGGCAAGCTTCTGGTTCGTCCAGCACGATGAATGGCAAAGAGGCGTCTTGCATGCCACTGATGAACCCAGGAAGAACAAACAACATGCTCAGCGCACAAACGTCCCTGCGGGGACAGGAGGAAGTCAGGGATTGTAGCACAAACATCCGCAATTGATGTGCTGATATGATGAACACAATCACCATGTTTTGTGTTCTTTCAAAAGCAATCAAAAGGAACAAAAAGAATACAAATGATTCTGTAGTAGTGGAACCACCACGTATTCAAGAAGTAAGGAACACTAGGAACACCAATCAAGCATCCAGCAAACCCAGCCTTGCTCCATCGGACAAACTATTCAGGGAAGTCCCGTAGCCAGAGCTGGCTCCTCCACGCTTGGCTGATGTGAGTAGATCGAAGGAGCCATCAGGCAAGCGTCGCAACTTTGCTTCGCCGCCCTCTCCCCACTCCTTCAAAACTCGCGTTCATGTAATCCAAAGAAAAATTGGAATTTCTGCTGTTGAATCAAAATCCACTTGTTGCAGAATCATGGAGTTTTGTCTTGCAGCTTGATTCATCTTGATTCATCTTGATTCATCTTGATTCATCTTGATTCATCTTGATTCATCTTGATTCATCTTGATTATTCATCCCAACCTCCATGGTGTCGTCCAAGGGCTCTCTTGTGAGCTCCCGGTACACTTCATCGATTCTTCGCGTGAGCCATGCTTCAGCCGCTTCAGTTCGAGATCTCGCGCTTGCTGAGCTGTAAGCCCTTGGAAACACATGGAAACTATGCGTTAAACTCGAAAGATTATATGGAAGGTCTTTTCACATGGTTGGATCCGCTTGGTTCAGTCTTGGATCCTTTTCAGTGTGGTTCGGATTGGTGAATGGGAAGTCAGCAAAAGCAGCAAAAGGCCAGTCCTGGCTGCACCCTTTGTAGTGCACCGCCGCTTCAGCAGTGATCCAGAAGCGGTTCCTTCCTGGTTTTTCAGCATGTTGAAGACTCAAACATATTTCAAAATGTTTGTATTCTAAAATGATGGAAAGCTCCAACTGCAAATCAAAAGTTAGAAACGTGACCCATGAGATCTTATACTATATTATCATTATCATATTATCATATATAAGATCTATCCCCTAAGCTGCGCTGAGAAAAGTAGGATCTCTGCACTGTGAATTCAGGGCTCTGAGCCAACTTTCTCGATCTCCTCAGGGAGCATTGCCAAAAGCCCAGAGGCACTTCGCCCATCAATGAGACCAAATTGGGGTAGAAGAAGGTCACCACCCATCCACCTGCGGCGATTTTTCGCCAAGTAACAGCCAACATCATGTCAGGTGATCAGTGATCCTCTACATGTGATTCGATGTGATTCTATATATGGATGTGTGTGTGTGAGTGCACCAAAAACATCACTATATATAAAGGAACAAAAAAGGGTGATTGCATGACGACTCTTCTACACTATTGTTGCGTGCTTTCAGCGAAATCCGTCCTTCCTGACTTTTGGGCTCGGCCATAGATTGTAGTGAATGGCAGAATGGGTGGTGACATGTGGTGACAAACATCAAAGAGGGACTGGAAGGGGATCCACCAAGCCACTGAAGTGCTTTCAGCCATTCAACATAGCCTTCCTGCGATACTTCTTTCAGTTCTTGACCTTCTTCCTGGACCCAATGAGAAAGAATATACGAATCCTTATTGGATCTATCCGGATGGACTCGCACTTCACGGACAAGCAGCACTGTGCCTTCCAGCAGAGGAAAGCTGCGGGAGGCTTGAGAAACCAATGTCTGATGGGTCACACCATGGCCAGATTAGCTCAAGATGAGGTGCAGTTTACGGATTTTATGACGAACACATAGTCAGTCATGAATTGCAACATATTTCAAAATTAATGTCTTGACATGCTGCACGCCTTGAAGGCTGCCTTCTTCAGCTTCTTGTTCGTAGCGGAATTGCAGTGTAACACGTGCGTTCGATGTCATTGGCTTGCCCCGGCGAATGTAGTCTCGCAGATTCCGATCACACTGACGGCCCAAAGCAAAGCGCAATGCATCCAGAACGGCTGATTTGCCACTTGAGTTGCAACCAACCACACAAGAAAGTGATCGCCCTTCGAGCTGAAATTGTCGCCTCTTGAAAGACTTAAAGTCATGCAAATCCAGCGACAGTAAGCTCGCACGCGCTTTCGCACGCCAGGTCGGCCCATCTGCCGCACGGCTTGCGTCTGATGCTGCGGGATCCACCAAACAAAGCAGCCTCAAGTCGTGGTGGGGAGAACGGGAACAATTCAATACTTTATGAATTTTATGAGATAAATCTGAGATAACAGTTGAACATGGTTGCGCTGATGGTTTCAACTGTCCAATCATGTTCAATAAGCAGCGCGAAAAACTGCTCAAAAGATCTGAAAAGTACAATTGATCAATTTACAGGAAAGTAACTCGCTCATTCTACCAGTGCCTTTCCCAAACCTCATAGGTTGCACTGCGGGCTGAGCAGACTGCGCTGGTTGTACCGACTGCACCGGTGTTGACTGTGCTGGCGCTGACTTCGCCGGGCTTGATTGCTGTGCATGGACTGACTGCTTCACCTCTCCTGTGCACAGCAAGTGTCGAATTTGCCAAGTACTTTCAAGATTCTGATTACTACTTGCGTCACCTACATCTTATCTACTTGTAAGTACTATACCTATCTATACTTGGAGCTGCCAGGAGAATAGATTCAAGGTGATTCAACTGCTAAATGACAAGGAGAGGCATCTCTTGTTCTGTGAGATTCTACCTGTCTGATGTCTCTGACGTGTCCTTCTGACTTTGTAGAAGCGCTTGTGGCTTGGACTGGTTCTGAAGACGTCTTGTCTTGCGGCGAATCCTTTGTCAGGCTTTTGTCTCTTGGGGAACCCGCTGGGCAAAGTGCCCTTTTGACCAGACTCGTGTAGCTCAACATTGGAGGCACATAGCCAGGTTCAGGTGTTCCATCTTCCAATCCAGACAGCAACGGAGAGAGGTCGTCGTCAGTTCGCTGCACCTTTGCTCGTCTTTCTTCTTCGAGATCGTCTTCCACGAGAAAAACAGGCTGTGGAGGGGGTGGCGCAACTGGTAGCGATGCCTGCTGCGTCACTCTTTGTCTCTTCAGCAGCATGTCTCCACGATGGGGCAGAGGCTCAAAATCACGTTGTGTGTGTGTGTCTGTGTCTGTGTCTGTGTCAGCTGTTTTGTACTTGGTGTATGTTTGTTCAGACTTTTGAAACATGTTGGAAAATGCTGAAACCGTGTCTGAACATGATGATTTTGCCCACAACGTCTGAAAGTCTCAATCATCTGGACTACAACTCTCGTGCTGCATGGGTGTGTAACAGGAATGGCTATTTCGTTCACTAGTCGAAACGTTGACTCCCTACTGACGCGGCTCCAATTCAGAGCCACGAAGCTGCAAATTTCATAGAGATTGATGCCGATCAGATGCCTCCTGAATGTTGTGCCTTCAATGCCTGCAGAAAAGTCAAGAGCTGGAACCGCTGAAACCTGTGCATCTCTGACTTCTTTGACTTCTTTGACTTGAGTCACTTGAGTCTCTGCGAGTGTGAGTCCCAGGTTGAAAGGAAACGTGCAGACAACCCACACGCAGTCTTTGCAGCGCAGGTACTCTGCAATATTTCAAACTCACGGGTATCCACTGGGTCCTTGGCAGCAGCAGTATCGTGTCATGGTGAATGACTTTCCGTTCAAATGTCATCTCCTGGCATGCATCGTCTTTGCTGCAAACACCAACTCAAGTACTATGCGAGTGTTAGTATCCATCTACCTACCTGCCTGTCTATCTTGACTAATTAATCTACATAATCTAACCAAGTCCAATGGAAATCAATCTAAAAAAAATCTAGTCAAATCTAACTGTGTGCGTAGTATCTATATATATATAATATATCGAATCATATCACACATTCAATAGCAGCAAAGCTCTTCTCAGAACCAGCATGCTTGTTGTTGTCTAGCATCTGTCTTCACCTGCTGACGTCACAGCTGCGATAGAAGCGGCGCCTCAGCAATTTGAGTCAATTGAATGTAGTTCCAAGCATATAATCCGACACAAAGCTTGTGGCTAGGTTATTTACGACTCAACAATACTCAACATGTGCACTCTAGCTTTGCTGGTCGTATGTGGTCATTCAATTCTTTTGTTTTCTTTCTCTGAATGTTTGGCATTGAAGTAGTGTCCTGGTCCAGATTCGGCTAAGAACAAGACTTGCAGCTTGTTGTTGAGCTTCGTCAGACATGCCAAGACTTGCCGCCGTCGCCAAAGCAAAGGAACTGGCGATTTTGCCTCGTTCTTCTGCGGTTGCTCAAGTTGCAGCTGCAGCTGCTGCTCCAGCTGCAATCTTTTCGTCATGTGTCATTCCACAACGGTCTGCGACCTGTAACGCAGCCTTGGATGCTTCCTCCAGCTGCCCCCTCTGTGTCAGTGGTTGCTTGGCACTTGCGCCAGTGGCTGCGGCCTCAGCTGCTGCAAATGCCGCTTGCAACTGTGGCGGCATTCTCGCTTTGGCAGCAGCTGCGGCAGCTGCGACTGCAGCATCTCGTGCTTGTAGAACTGCATCTCCGCCAACCTCAAAGCAAGCTTAGTTTTGCCTTCTCCAAGAAAATCAACAAATCCAAATGAAATTGGATTCAAGCGGCATCTACAGGCTCATGGCTTAAGAAGCCTCGACTTTCAACAAGCCCTTTGGCTGATACTTGGATGTTTTCACACACCAAAATATGATGCGGAAGAAAAGAAGTGTCTCCTTGGTTTCTCAATGTTTCTCAGCTCTCCAGCTGCTCTGGAGCCAACTTGAACAAGTACCAAAGTGAGCCGAGTATCCCTTCTCATTGCATCGGCAGCCACTCTGGCCGCTTCAGCTGCTTGCTCCCGAGCTGCACGGACCTTGTCAGCAAAAGCTGCTTTCTCCTCCTGACAACACAGGCAAAGCTGAAGATGGCCAAAGCATGCCAAAGCTACCTAGCGCACCTGGAATGATATGCTCAGTGTGTCAAACGGAATAAATTTGAGTACTGTACATACTAAAATCAAACAACTCGGCAGTGTTTAGAGTCCAAACGTCAAGGCTTGAGTAAGATCAAAAAGGGTGCCTCTTCTCGAACCAAATGCGAACGATCGTCTTCCTTCTGCATACACTGTCGGTTCATATCCAGAAGGAACCTTAACACATGCATAATTTTCCACAACAAAACAGAGCCTGCAGATGTTCGCTGAGTGCACAGTGCAAGTCAAAAGAGGTACTTTGTGGGCCAGAGTGCGCATTTCATTCAGTGGAGCCAATATGTGCCATGCGCTATTTCGATCTATTTCGTCTTGGATGAGCCAGTTGCGGATCTGATTAGGGCAAATGAATCCACAAGCCAGAGCCTGAAGGTATGCTCAATCGAGCTAAGGTGATCAAATTGTTCCAAAAAATCAGTTTGGCTGATAGTAAACTCCTCTGAAAGGGTGGGGCATGCGTCTTGTAAAAGCAAAGAGTGACTTCAACTTTGTCTCCGGAACCAGTCATCTAGAGAAACGATCTAAACGCTCCTTGTCTATTGTTTCCTGCTCGGCTAAATATGTTGCTTTTGCACAATCTATCATCCAGCATGTTCAGTCAAGTCATGTCTATACACATGACAAAAGAGCATGCTACTTGAGAACGGATTCCATTATATACCCACTAGTCGAGTCTTTGTGGGTATCGCATCTGTGTGTTTATGAAGTCGGCAAACTCTTGCTGATTCACTGCACACAGGAGTGCGGACTCAACACAATTCCTTTCTGCAAGTGAAGTAACAGTCTAGGGTGGGTTACTCAAGTCAAAATCATCATAGCTGAGGAACGCGAGGTGTTTGCGGAACTCAAGTGAAAGTTCATCTTCCAGCTTCATTGCTTTCTGCTCTTCAACTCTCTTTGTCCAGTCCTGCCCAAATGCAAATCTGGAGTAAAGTTGATTGAAGCCAAAATGTTCACAGTAAAGTCTTTGGAACTTGTTAAGAAATGTTAAAACTGCCTCGAAGTTGCGGCTTTCAAAGTCTGCTCTACCCATCTCCTGGTCAGTTCAGTGGAGCAAGTAACATCCTGCAGTCTTCCTAGATGTGGTTTTCCCCAGTGAAATGAAATGAGGCCAAGTGAACTTGAGTTGAGCAATGGTGAATATCCCAATGTCTATACTTGTGATGCAGTGTCTCCTTTTCCCAATCACTTCCAAAGCAGGCTAAGTGGACAAAGCAGCGGCTGAATGACAATATAAAGGCGTACACTTGGACGGCATACGGTTGAGTTGAGAAAATATTCCTTGATTGGTCCACTATAAAACACTAATGCATAATCTCGCATCATACATTACGTGTACCACTTGTTGCCACCCACATCAGTCAAGATTCCGGAAGTTCTCTGCAGATGACCCGGCGGCAATGCAGCCAACTCAACGTGCGGCGCTGACAGACTGACAGGCTGACAGACAGCATTGCGTGTTTCTGCTTGTTCTGGTATCCGGGAAAGCAAATTGATGAGATGTACAACGTTCCGACAGTGCTGACATGCTGCAGCGCCTGGTATTCTTCTTCAAATAGCATGTTGCGAAGCTCTCGACTCTGGTTCTCCCGCTCAATACGAAGCTCTTCTGCGATTCTCACCTGCCGATATTTTGACAATTCTGCAAGCCTTGGAATGCTGCTGCAACTCGTCTGACATGGCTACCTTCAACATCTTCAACAGGCTGCTTTGCAGTCGCATGAATCCTGTTCAAAACATGGTGAAGGTAAAGGCTATTCATTATTTTTAGATAATGAATTCGAAACAGAATGAAATGCAAACGTCAACGAGTCAACGGAGACCGCCAACTTATAGGCTTTTTGGGTTCGGCTCGTTTAGAGCTAAAATATTAACCAGACACAAGTTGCCTCAGCACTACTCACTAGAACTTCCTCCTAGTCATGACAACGTCAGATTAGCTCAGAAAGATCCAAAGCATGTTTACTCAACACATTCGAACACAAGTAGAAAGCTTCCGTGGCCTCGTTCCAATCAACAAGACGTCTATGGCCATGTTTGCAAAGTTTCCGTTCTTTCATGCTCAAGCGCTCATCAGGCAAAGCTTCGACAAGAAGCTCCTTGGCTGATGGGTACGGTGAAGAAAGCCGAGTCAGACTGGGAATGGCTGAGATGGCTCAGGATGCCAGTACCCGAAATAGTTGAAACATGTTGAAACTGTAAATTGCAGACACGCAAATGAAATGGTTTGCTGCACCATTTTTCCCATGGCTTGTTGCATCCTGCTGCCATGACTCCGGAACGTTGCAATTGATGAGAGACATCTTATGCTCTTCATCCCAGGCGAGTTCAAGCAAGATACTCAGAGCAGGCCATCGCACACTGGGAAGCTCTGATTTGGAGGCAGCAGCAATGATGCTGTCTTTCATGGTACCAGGTGAATCCATTTGATCATCTTGATCGGTATGTGTGCGCTTCACATGGTCTCCTGACTGTTTGGATTGCGATGCAGCAGATGCATCGCTCCCCGCCCTTGACCTGCCACCAGAAACATCACTCCCGAGACGTCCACGTTGGCTGCCAGCGCTTCCGAGCATCTCTCTGGCATAGTGTACATCATCCTTGCAGAGTTGCCGCGTTTAGAATCGTTTAGAAACATGAGAATTTTCCACTTCTCAGGATGGAAAGATTTCATGTAGTATAATGTCATAGCAGTGTCACGCTGTGATTGTAGCTTTCCCACAACTGTCCTGGTCCGGATTTCTTCTGGCGAGAGAAACATATGACCACACGGATGCTCGCTTTTCTGGATTTTTGACGATACCTGGCAAGACATCTAAGGTTTTGCCAGCCTGTGTGTGTGTGTATGTGTCGTTTCATTTGGAGACTCTGCACGTAATGGTGTATGCGTAGAAAGGTCCTATACATGTGCATATTGTGTGCAAAGTCGCAATCCAGGAAGTCATCACTCATGACTCATGACCAAATTTCTGCATTGCACTTCCAACTCAAGACAAAGTCAAGTCACTTGCTAAAACCGTCAAAGCTTTTCCACGAATGCGTGATGGCTGGTACCGAAGGGTGTTGAGAAAGATGTCTTCACACACACGACTTTCGTCTTCATCTTGCCATAGAAAATGTGCGACAGCTTGCTGGCCAGCCAGAGCACTCAGTACACCAAGTCCACCTTCGCGGATATCCGCATCTTCTTCCTCTTGAAGACTTTGAAGGACTGTGGCCCAAATCACTTGATTTCCAAAGAACAACTCGGGGCTTTGACAGACTACCGCTGCACTCCAAAGGGCCCGGAAGACAAGAAGACGTTGGGAAGTCTCTGCGTTTCTTCGAGCTGCCTTTCCAAGTACGTCCCTAAGGTCCTCACTTACTTGTTGACACTCATGAAAAGCTGGAACTGCCAGAGCTACCAAGGCCAGAAGTCCCTTCTCCCGCACTTCTTGGGGCTGACCATCAGTTTGAAGATTGGCCAGACTTTCCCGCACCTGTGAAAGAACGTCAAAGAACTTCACATGCCCTCAAATACTCAGCAAATATCTGCTGGATGTTGAATCTTAGCGTTCTGACGTACGCTCAAGTCTAGCCAAATGCAAGAAGTCTAAGTGCTTTGGATTCTGGGAATGGATGGAAATGGATGGAAATGGATGGAAATAGATGGAAATGGATGGAAATGGATGGAAATGGATGGAAATGGATGGAAATGGATGGGAATGGATGGAAATGGATGGAAATGGATGGAAATGGATGGAAATGGATGGAAATGGACACTTGGAGTAATCCCGTGCCTGGTCGTTGTGAAGTAGAGAATGACAGTTTCTGGACGATGCAGCAAGGTGGACCATCACCCCCAACGAAAGTATTCGCGCAAGCTCCGGCTGGTTATCTTCTAAGCCTTTCAGCAGGATCTCTTGAACCTGGCGCAACTTACATTGCTTTGAATTGTAAATCTAGCTGCATATCCTACATATTCCTACATGGGTTCTAAGCGGTTTCCAGAACTCATCTCTTGCCTTTACTTTAAGGCTTTGCTTCCTGTCCCCTTATGTGTTCCATTACACTGCCTTCTCTTGACACGGTCTTCAGTTTGTTTTCACCATGTTGTGGTTAACCATGTCCTGTTTCCAGATGATATGACATGAGATGACCAGCAATGAAACACAATCGAGCTGATCCCTGAATTGGCAGGAACTCAGCGACTCAGCGCCTCTGCATCTTGCCACAGTGCTTCTCGCAGACCCGAACATGCCACGTCCCGCAACTTCAACAAAGCGAGCTTTCGGTCCACAGTTGGCTGTGGTTTCTCTTCCTTCTTTCGCTTGCTACCTGGCAAGATGTTGGCAAGATATTGACAAGATGTTGGCAAGATGTTGGCAAGATGATTCAAGGCTACTTGATAGAAGGAAAACATAGAAAAAGCATGAAAAAGCAACATGTCCTGAAAATCAATCCAAATATGCTTAACACATTCTAATACATACAATATACATAATCATATATATATATATATGTACGTGTATAATATATATATATATGACATTATTATGTAATACTGTTGGTACTAATGTTTATATGTTACATTCTTATACGCAATACTCAATGACAACGCGCACGGGCTTTGCTTTCTCAAAAAACACAGACCTCTGACCGGCTCAGGCGGAGTGGAGCGTAGGGCCGCGAACAACTGACGCCGCTCTTCATCATTGCGCAGCCAGGCTGGCATGGGGCAGCGCAAACAGCAAGGAGCAGCTGAAGTAGCCAAGTGATGCCAGGTGTCGAAGTCTTGTATCAGTTTTAAGTTTTATCAGTGTTATCAGTTATCAGTTTCAGTAGGGTGCGGGTGAACATATCTGAACTGAACACACTTTGCAAATGTAATTATATACAGCTTTATACTGATGTACAGGACGGACACCCATGTGTACGAATGTATGTGTATATATAATATATAATAACAAATTATAACACTATTATAACAATATGAAGACCCGAATTACGTATCTAAGCTTGCAAAAAACGGTGGAACCAGTAGTTGCCCTATGTTGCCCTGTTCCTTGCTGGTCACCACCTATTTACTTAAATGCCATCTTCCAAGACGGTCTCCTAGACCTACCTGTTAATCAAAATGCTTGCAGTTTGAAGATGTCAAGTCTGTTTCTTTCACATGTGTTTTTCATTGTTTTTCATTTTGGATGTAATACTTCAAAATGTGTCTTGCATGATTTGTCTTGCATGATTGAGTTGAAGCTTCCCGCATCTTTGGGGCCAGCAAGCTAACCAGGAAGTGCTGTTCGACATCGCCAGTGACATGCGGCATCCCAACCTTGGTGGCCTTTCTGCCAAAATCTGCCCAGACAGCACACGCACTAGGTCAGTTGACATCAATAGTTTCCATTTTGTCAGTGGAAAGCGAACTGGATTTCTACGAAGTCTGGCCGGTGGATTGGTGATCTAACAAGGATTTTGGCAAGCTTGATGAGAATACATTGAATACACTCTGCATATTTTTCAAATGCTTCCATATCTTTCCGTATGGCCATATGGCCAATCGATCAATCCACCAGCGCAGACAGACACAGAGCATTCTGCCAGCTACGGGAGAATCACTGTGTCCTGCAGGGGAAAAGAAGCATAAGAAGCAGACCAAAGTGACCAAAGTGACCAAAGTGACCAAAGGTCAAAGCACTGAAGCAGAACATGTTGCAGGTCCCTCCTCAACATTAGCTGATGCGGAGAGCTGAATCACAGGGGTCTGTTGTATCCACCTATAGCATGCAATCCACGCTTTGGATTTCAACATATTTCTGCAAAAGTGTCATCCAATCATCCAACAGAATTGCTAGTCTGCTCCTGCCTGTACTTTCTGCGTAAGTTTTGCAAGATGCTGTCCGTTGCCTCTCGCAGGCATTACGGCTACGGGCATTGATGGTGTACTGGCGCAATTTTTGCACCCTAGAACCTTCTCGATTCACTTGTGTGCAACAAGCTGGATTTGTACTCACGGAATCTAATGGAGAAGTTTGATGTCTTCTCCTGGTTAGTCTTTGATTCTCAACTTTTCTTTTAAAAACTCTTGAAGATCGTGGTGACACCGCACACTCTTGAAGAGCTGTTTCGGCCTTGCTGTGCTGAGCCAACGATACACTAAAGTGGCAAGCGGCAACAGCCTGAGCATAGTCTTGAGTCTTGGCCGAAAAGTCTGGCTTCACAGTACCAAGATTCTACAATGTGGTGACTCACATTGCAGTCGTGACTTGTTTGCTCAGGTCCGAGCTTTGACAAAGGCCCATGTCCCAGCGCCCTGTACACACCTTGCATGACCCCCAGCACCATGGACTTCGTATCAACCCATATCAATTGTGGCTCCCAAGAATTCAAACGTGACCGGACCACCCTTCAATTGGTAGCTCACAACAAACCTGCTCAGCACAGGCGTCTGAAAGTCCAAAAGGGCTCGACTTGCTCAAACAGACCAGCCCAGTGTGCGTGTGACAAAATCTGACAAGATCTGACAAGATCTGACAAGATCTGACGAGATCCGACAAAGTTGCACTGACAAGGTTGCACCTGGTCGTTCTGACAGGTTGCAAAGCTGTAGCATTTGCACGATGGACCACCGCGGGCCACATTCCCATGACGCTGAGTTGCCTCGGCTTCGACAACATCGAGAAAGCTCCACACTGTGAAGCCACCCATCTCCTGCCACGCCCTGCCACGCCCTGCCACTCCCTGCCAGGCCTCCAAAGGTGAAGGCTGTGCCTCCAAGAAAAGATTCACAGAGTTGAGACAAGAAGATCCTCAACCCGTCACACCCCGTCACAACTCTAAACTTTAGACATCTTTAGACCATGAATTCATGCACAAACACAGGAGATAGTGTGACTTTGAGCAATGGGATTGCAGTCATGTCCACAGATTTCTGGAGGATGGCCTCAGAAACTGGGGAGCTCATGTGGTGTGGTGAGGCATGCGTTGAAGATCTGCTGCTGGGGGAACTTGATGGAGACACCATTTGCCTCCAGACCGGAAACATCGTAAACGAGAAGGACAACATTCCCCATTGCATTCATTGCCCCCTGATATCTTGCCATATTTTGGAACTGCTTGCCATAGCTTGCCAGATCTTGCCACGGCGGCTGCCTGGCCAAGCCATGTCCACCAGGCAAAGGTGGTAGGTTCAACCTTGGTGGCAAATCAGCAATCTTTTCACTGCTTTTCCAAGTTGAACTCAACACTTGACTCGACCAAAAGCCCAAATCGGGATGCGTCAAGAGTCTTGAGAGTTCAGAAATTCGGCATCAAGTCCCCAACAGCCGTATCTTCGCAGACGAGACAGCATCTGCTGGTATCTCCTGGCTTGATTAAAAATTAAATTGTATGGCACTCTAGTCATAGTCATCTTCCTGTCTCCTCGTGCCTGAACATTTGGAGCGAGCCTCTTGAAGAGAGGTGGCCTCAAAATATCAAGTGGATTCAAGCCGTTGCGTTGCATGTTTCCGTCTGAAATTGTGGTGTTTATTGATTTGTGCAATTCCAAATGGACAGATTGTGTTTCATGATGCGCAGGTAAGTCATCTCAGATGAACCCGAGGCATGTACCCTGGACCAGGACCAAGCGAGCGAGCTTCAGAATGCCGTAGCAGTGGAACAACAGAGCTCTGACAACAGTCAAGTAGTATTGTAACCTGTCACATCATGTCAAATCTATCCAAGTTGGTCCAAGTTGTTGTTTCAGTGTGCCGCTTCCTGCAATTTCCTGACTTCATTCACCAAGGATACAAGTCACGACCACTGCGCCTTGCATGTAGGAGGAAGGGAATGAAGAGCAGAAGTGATTAAAGACATCGGAACCAGACCTGATAAGTCCGGCTTACAGGCTACATCTTCTTGAGAAGCTCTGTCTGTAATCGGTACAGGACTGCAAACTTAGTCAAGGGCGGTAGCCACCGGCTTGAACAGCCCTTTGAGCTGAGTCGGGCGACAAGCGCGAGTCCTTACGCTTTCACAGCTTCAGGTTTGCACCGCATTGCACCGCCAACTTGCTACTGTATGTGACATCTGCAAGTCACAAAAGTCGTGACAACACATGGCTCGGTTTCGGGCCGCTGAGGTATTGCAGTGTCTCAGTTCATGTACAATGTCCTTCGCCATAGTAATCTTGAAAGGACAACCAGAAACAAATTATGCCTGAATCTGCGGAACATTCTTCCTCTGGAAAGTTGTCTGCAAAGTCCATTGGCACAAGGTGTCCCTGCAGCAGGCACAAAACATTCTCTGCCACAGTTTCTGGACACTCCATCTGAAGGCAAGCCATCAGCACACAACGTGGAGATCACTTCATTCGATTCTTGCGGTCACACACAAAGCCTCGTAGAGCCCATCAGTCTGAGACTCTGGTTGTTGAGCTCCGTAGCCACTGAAGTAAAAGAGAACGTTGTCCTTGGGCAACTGGAGAAAATCATAGACCACGGATAAATCTATGCTGTGACATGAACGTCACAATGCACTTGAGAAACCCCTGCGTGAAGTGGGTCCCACGGCACCCTGAGGCCAGAACCCCGGGCTTTGCACTTTGAGTCAGCCATTGCAATTCTGCGATGATGTTCTCCCTTCAGCAATCGCGCATGCTGTGAGACAAATGCTGCTTCTCCGTCAGCAGAAGTACTCCCGTGAAGGACAACAGCGCAGCCACTGGAATGAATGACTGCAGTACTGTCAAGAGGGTGTAGCCCAAATAAACAAATGAATCCAATTCCCATAGTTGTGATTATGAGTTGAATAAGTTGAATATATATATATATATATATAGTAGTGTGTTTGCGTTTGTGTGTCTGTCCGTTCGGGTACCTCGTGGGACGCCTTTTTGGAGGTGATGCAGTCGAATCCGAGAAGTCGATCAAAGATCGGACCTGTCCATGGGGTTTGTCAAATACGGAAGGACAAAAACTCCGTTGTTCAGTCCTGGCTCTCTGGATACTGCAGGGACCTGAGGTAACACTAGACTGTGGAGACTATACAGAAAATGATCGAAAATATAGAACATGTAAAATAACGTAAATTGAAAACATGCAAAACTCACTAGAAAAGGAGGCGTTGGGGCCATGGGGAGAAGGACAACACATCCATCTGGTCCGTGTGCAGGCTTGAAAATACATCTTTTGTTTCACTCTCTCCAGCGCACTGTGCCAGAAACTCCTGAGCCCATTGCTGCCGCAGCAAGCACTGGATGTTCCATGCATCGTTGGCACACCCTTGTAGAGGAGCAAAGGAGCTGCAGTAGTTGCAACCTGCAAGACAACACTTGGCACTGAAGAGTAAGTGTCAAAATTGTAGAAGCGTAGCTTGTGCACCCTCGACTCAAAGCTTGGTGTACTTACGAGTCTCTTTTTAGAAACGATACGAAAAACAAAAAGTGTAAATGAAAGTTCTGCTAGACATGGCTGGAATCATGTTGGGATAGCCACAACGAAGTGGCCTATCACCAGAGCTCGTCGCTGCACAGCTTCCATCTTGGACCTATCACTACTGACACTACAAAGCATAATTGGAATACAAAGTGGGCTGTCCCAGAAAAAAAAGCAAGGCAGCCAAGTTCAATCAGGACCAGTGTGGGGACGCGGCAGTGTTGGTCCGAGAAAGAGCGAACCATGCAGTGCAGAAGGTACCGAACGGATGTTGCCCGGAACTTCCTCCGGCGCAGGCAAGAAAGTCAGTCTGGAAGATTCAGTGACCAAAACACAGTCATTTTTCTAGCAGGGCAATCAGCGAACCACTCCTCATGCTGCGTTTGCTTCTCGAACTCTTTTAGCTGCTTTTCTTTTGCAGCCAGCTGTTCCTCATGACCAAAGCTACACAAGCCTTCAGCATTGCTGTTTGCGCTTCTCGGGTCTCATGCCTCCAGTGCAACTGCCTTTTGGCGGAGCAGCTCTTTTGCTGCCTCTGATCAACGAAGTTCAAGCAGACAATCTGTGTAAAAAAAATGTTGAAAATTGTTGCAACAGCGGATGATCAGCGGATGTTGCATCTAGGTGTTGCTGGCCAGGTGGCTACTGGTACCTCTCTACCACTCCCAGGTGCACCTTCTGATGGCTGCTGCCATTGGGTGGGGCTTCTGGCTGGCCCTCGCTGGCCTGGCTCCAAACGTGAATCTGAAACAGGAGAATGTGGATTTCAATTCTGAGTTGTCTGGCAGCAAAATCTTGCTCAGTTCCCTGCCGCTTGCTTCCAATGTTCCAGTTCATCCTTCGTTGTACCACTGTTGCCAGAGTTGCTACTTGTACTACGAGTACTCTAGCCATGCCCACAGTAGGTTGAGGATCAAGCTTTTTCTGTTTCGTGCAGGGATTGCTCTCTGATTGAAGAGAGGGAAGAGGTATGTAGTGTGTAATGTGTTTTTGTGTTTTTCGTAGTTGTGCAAATCAGAGCAGAGTATCTGATCGGCGGTTTTCCCACGACTTCCTCTGCAAGTAGTGGAAACCTTTTGACGCTACCCATCAATAGTATGAGAGATTTTAGGTAACTTCTGGGAGTCAAAGCTGCCGGTGAAAAAGCCGGAGCCTGGAACAATTGTATCTACACCTCATTTCTGTCATTGGAGACTGCTTCAGTGGGAAATGTGATGAGATATCTGGATTGCTTATACCATTTCTAGAGGGCCAGGCGGGGAAGCTTTGAATTTTCAATCAGGCTTTCAGATCTTGTGACTTTCTCCTTCACATGATCTGTATTCAGAATATTGTGACCTTCTTTTTGCTATAGAATTTTAGGACCTCAAAAGCACTAAGGCGTTCAAAGGGTTGGGAGCCACAAATAAAGGCCCCTGATCCAGAAGCCCCTCGTGCTGCACGGAGAGCCCTCTCAGAAGATCCTGGAATCAGAAACTTTGCAGCTACAAAGAGTGTCCTCGTATGACTTTACCTGGGCAGCCACTCTTAGGCCCAGGACCTGACAAGACGCAGGAAAAGTGCCTGAACTCTGTCGTGTCTTTTGCGGTCCCTCCTCTTCCAGGGTGACCCTCTTCAAATGCAACGAACAAATGGCAAGATTCGTGGACTAATCCAGACATTCTAAGGAAAGAAAGGAAAGAAAGCATTAAAAAAGAACAACACGGTTTCAGAAGCTGGCTGTCCGTTCTTGAAATGGACACATTGGGGGCTTGTCGCTCTTACCAAAGCATTGCATGCGCCTCTTTGGCCCACTGTTGAAGGAGATTCGGGTGGAAATTGCCAGAAGTCTTCCGCAAAAGTTCATGCTCCTGGAAAGTCTGGAAATGTCGAGTGAGCTGCGAAAGAGCCGAGCCATGGCCCGTAGATTAGCACTGGTCATAACTTCATCGCATCCTGCAGAAGGAAAGTCTTCCGATGCTCTGCCTAGGGACTCTCCGTGCCAGAGCAGTCTCTTCTCGGTCTCTTTGGCAGCCCAAATTTCCCAGCCAATGAACTGTTTGCAGCCCGGTGAAAGATTTGCCGACCGACTTGCACTGAGTACAACAAGTTGCAACAACTGTACTGCAGGAAAGCTGCATCATGGAGGCCCAGGGTCAAGAGTTCCGATTCGTCGTCAAAGGTTCTGATGTCCTTTGCCCAAGGCTCAGGTGCTGCCAGTGCTGCATGGTTGTCAAGTGATTTCAAGCCTCTGCAGCCAGTCCTCCTCCAACTCCTGTAATTTGGAGTAGTGATCATTGCCTTTGCTAACCTCTGCAAAAACACAATTGCCAGTCCCCGGAGAAGGCTCGACTGCGAACACAACATCACTTCCAAACATGGAAATCGTATTCTTGCCTGGCTTTTCATGTCATCCATCACCACACGGTACTCTTCCTTCGCAAGGACCGCAAGGATACTTTACATTACATCACATTGCATAGGTTTCACTTGGTTTTACAATTTACAATGATGAGCTACAGCTGTCTCTTCACAGCGCTGTCAGTCATATCACTTCATGCGGCTCCTGAAGACTCCTCTGCTCCTGGTGCAAAGCCTCGTCTGAAGCACGGACTTTGCAAAATCACCAAAATCGAACCTCAAACCATCTCAGATCATCTCAGATCATCTCAGACATTCTCAAACCATCTCCAAACCTATTCGCATCTTTCCACTGTCACATCTCAGCATGAAGTCGGAAGCTCCGCCTGGACATTCTTCTCTGCCTCGGTGCTTTCCTTGGAAGCCTCGCGTTGGATCAGTGGCTGACAACTTCGAGCTCTTGGACAGCTCTTGGCAGATCCTAACAAAATCCCGAGTGTAAACTTTCAACATCAAAATGTTCCATGGTTCTCCACATGTTCCTCCTGTTCCAAATGACAAGTGACCTCCCGAAGAGACGCTGCTCGGTGCACGAGAAGCTCCTTGACTTTGTTTGTTAGAACTGGGCAAAATCTGCAGGACAACAATCTTTGTGGGTTCAACGGAATTCAACTCTTGCAGCGAAGAAATGCGGCGTGTACAAATACTTGCAACTCGATACCCTTGATTTGTTTTGAGCGGAGCCTTTAGCAACTTTGTCTTCTGCTCGGAGGCTGGGTCCTACAATCTGCATGCGAATTACACTTCCCTGCTTACCTCACAGCATTAGTACAATTTTTGATACACACCATTTCTTGCAAACCTGAACAAAAAGACACTGATTGCCAGCAGGATGGAGGATGCGTGGAAAAAAATTGGCCGCCAATTCAGGGCCAAGGGCTGTCGTATTTTGTGTGACAGCAACTGCAAACATTGCCCATGACATCCTGTCACCCCCTTGTCCTTCGTGTGATTCATTTGTGGGCCTTCGAACACAGAGAAATAGACAATTCCAACAGAGTCGAACATGACTATACGTGACTTCGTGAATCTTCTTCCTCAGCCAACTGAGATGCCGTCTCCAAAAAAGAGATAAAAACATATAAAAGCAATGATTTTTTGCATAAGATCTGGTCTGAGAATCTTGCCAGACTCTGCCTTTGCAAGGACCTGTCAAAGTATAAACAAATAGATAGATTGGCTTTGTTTTCCTGCTTCCTCTGGTCTGCGCCCTCACTCTTGCAGTGTTCTTTTGGGTTGGCAAAAATAAGAAATGGTTGGAAATACAGCCATCGCCTGCTGACGCGAAGCACTCTCCTAGCAAGCAGATTTTGACTCGCCCCGGGCCCCCTTGGCCCCCCATTGGCTCACAAATGAATTGCTTGTGATATCTTGTGATGCTCCTGAAGTCGTTTCCGCAAGGTGGCAGCCTCTGCTTTGTGTGACTCGAGGGCCTCCACACAAGTCTTGTGCACACACACTAGGTCTTGTGCTGCAGAGGTCATACTTCATGGACTAGGATGGAGCAAAGTATTGAGGTGTCACAAAATGACAATCGCCAAAGAATGACATCAAGGTACATTGAGAGAGTCGAACCCCAACGGCCTGCATGTCAGCTGAGAATTTCTCCTCTCAAAACAAAGTTGTTGCCAGCTTAGCATGTTCAATCTCAATTTGGCAAGCAATCTCTTGAAAGGAAATCTCAAACGCAAGTGCAGTAGGTTTCTTGATTCACAAATCAAGCGGCAGTTGGTTTGTTTTGTCAGCTGAATCAGCAGCATTCACTTTTGCACGGTCATTCTCCAAATGCGAATGTTTGCATCAAATTGCTTCATGCTAAAATGCAGGTACTGGCTCGGGCCACCAGAAGTTTGTTTTGAAAGAAGTCACTGGTGCATGTTTCACCATCATGCTTGCTGCATTCAGTGTCTTTAGTCAAATTCGCGGCAAAAAGTATAATCCTCTGAAATCGCTGTGGGTCACTTTCGGTGTATGTGAATCCTCGATAATTCTCGCATGATTATTCTTGAACCTGAGTTCGGGGGGTCGATCTTAGGGATTATTCACAGGTGATTTGAGGATGCAATGAATTTCACAGCATCTCTTTTTTCAGCGTCCTTGCTGAGAATTAACTCCATGTCAATCTGGGAGAGCTTTGCTTCTAACGATGTTGCGCACTCCTCCGCCGTTTCAGACACTGACGGACCTGTTTCACCATGCTTCACCATAGTTCACCATGTTTCAGTCCTGAACCGCCAAATCCTTAGTGGCATCCTCGATTTTCTTCGAAGTGGCAGTGCGAACCTGGAGAAACGTTGAAACTTTGACGAAGTTCCACAGTTCCAAGCAAGAAATCCTAAGAGGCATAAGAAACCCATCCGACTGTCCATCTGAAGAAGGTGAACCTCCTCAAATTCGTTGCGCAGCTCTGTCAATCTCTCCTGGAGTGACACAAGTTGTTCCAAATTCTAAATCCAGGCCGAGCATGATATGGCATGCCTCGCATCCTACAAGTAATTGTTCTATATTGTTGCTATTCCCAGGTTAACTATCGAAAATGTCAATGATTATTCCTAAAACATCACTCCTTTTCCACACTGCAGGCAGCGGCCACTGCCTGGCCAGCACAGGTGGTCACGAACCGGGAAAGTGACACCTCTTGGCCCTGCAATTTGCACAAGTTCTTCTGCGCACCTCTTGCTTGATGGCCAGCTCTGCTCGTTTGGCGAGGAGTTCTCTCACCTGTTCCTCAACCTGACTCACAACACCCATTCTTCGAGCCCGCAATCTTCATAGCATCATGTGATAGAAAGTGGAAATGGCATCGACAGCAAACCATGAAGAATCCCAAACGCCTGCAACTCTTGCTCTTTTGTCGATGTTGACTGCCCTTTCTGCGCCTGTCTATTGGCAGTACAGTAAGGAGAGAGGTTCAAAAGGATTCCACCAGGAACCTTGTATCTTACTGGTAAATTCCCAGGGATGTACCCTCCTGTCTTAATAATCTGTTGTCCTGCAGCAGTTACAATTCCAAATGGCAGGATTGTGTACGCATGTAGCGTTGCCGACCTGTGTACGGGGTACAATTTCAATTTCAATGACACTCGCCAGGTCTTGCACTCCTTGTTACATTGGGAAACACGTTCGACACTTTTGCTAGCCTGAAATAGGGGAGTGAACGCTCTCCACGGGCATATATGAGCATATATATCTGGCTTAGGAAAGAGAGACTTACGGTGCTGTGGTGTTCAGGATCACGTTTCCTGGAACACAATGAACCTTGGTACCTTGGTAACACGACCGCTCAGCACCAGACTACACAGATTTTGACTGACGGCACCTATCTTTGCCCATATTTGCTAGGACCAATGTCTACAGAAGCCACTGCCTTGACACAGTCTTGATGCATAGCCCTTTGCTCGCTCAAGGCTGTCTTCATTGCAGCTGCAATGACTTCCTGCTGAGCTTGTGAGTTCAGGTACAGTGACAGTATGCATTTGTGTAAGACGGTGTATAAGATCTGTAAGCATGTCGAGCACATCTAGCACGTCTAGCAGTCTAGCATGACTGGAAAGAGATCAAGTCTCGCAATCAGAACATGTCACAGCATGTCACAGCCACGGCAGTCCTGGCGGGCTGCTTCTTCCGCGAGTTCCTGCAGATCCTCTGGCTGCTAGGCGTGAAATCTGAGTCTCCAACGTCGTCACTCTGATAGACGCAGCAGCATAAGCATGACATTCCAACAACAACTATGGCAATTGGGCAAGACAACTGGGAAGAGAAGATTACAGTACCAACTGATCATTTACATGCACCAAGTCATGCACTATGTGGTTGGTATTTCGCAAAAGAAAAAAATGTTCTTAGTAGCTCCTCCGCTCCTATTGACATATGTTATAGGCTGTGGATCAGTAATCTGGTATGAATCGCTCCACTGAAATTGGTACCATGGACCGCAGGTCATGTGGATCACGCAGTATCCCCTGCAGTATGGATCGAGGTATCTGGGAATGGTGTGGGTCCAGGGCCTTGAGGCCTTGATTGTCCATACCTTGTATTCTGACTTGTACAGTATGCATATGGTAGTCAGGATTGGTTCGGAAACACTGGGGTGGACTCTTTTATGTCATCACACAGACTGGTCGAAAAACTGTTTTACAGGACTCCCAAAGTCTCAGAAAGCTCCTTCCGTTGCTGCTCTAGATTCTTCTCCATCTCGCTTGCTCTCAGAGCCTCAAAATCAAAATGGATTAATTGTTTATCGATGTTTATCATGGATAAATCTGGATAAATGTAAAACTATTCTCAGATCTTCTCGTAGTTTTCTTTGGTCTCTGCCAGGCCCTTGAGGCTCTCACTTCTGCATCTGCAGCTTCTTTGGCTGCATCTAAGGATGCCCGTAGCTCTGCAGCTATCCTAAGTGCGATGTTGCCATTCATACAAGTCTCAGTTTCAGTTGCAACGGATTAAAATGCATGGAGCTGTTGGTAGCTGTTGGTAGCTGTCGGTAGGTATGTGTGAGGAGAAGTCTTCCGCAATTCTGCACCTTTTGCTTTTGCATGTTCGGCTTGCACCTGCCAGGGCGAAATTGCAAAGCTGAACAGCCGAACAAGCGCCAAAAATAGCTGAGTTCACCCTCGTCTTCGGTCTTTGCTGCTGGGTCTCGTTCAGTTTATCGAACAAGACCTTGGAAAACAAAGCAAACACTGGCTCCCAGTACGTGTATTCATAATATGTATATATTATATATATATGCATATGTTCCACATGTATATTATATATATCATACTTGACATAAAAGCGGATAAAATGCCCTTCAGTGATTTCACCCTGTGTATGTATTTTTGTCGAGCCGCTTTCTGCTTCTGCGCTTGCTGCTTGGACCTGAGATAGTGATGAAAATTCATCGTCGGCAGCTCCAAAGTGTTGCAGTAGTTACAGTTACATGTGCCCAAAAATACCAAGTGCATATGTGGGCCGATATCACGCGAGAGAATTCAAGCTCCAAACAATTCCTGGTGCTCTTCAAGCTCAGATTTCATCTGGACAAAGCGCTGCAGCAAGGCCTCTTCCTGGGAACCAGGGTTGGCGAGCAAATGCATGGCAGAACTCTGATTGAATTGCATGGATAAGAACATCGAAGTGGCAGACAAAAGAACTCAGTCATTCACTCGCTCACTCAATGATTCTGAATGTCTTGGCAAACCAGACTCCCTTGCTCCACTTGCACCCAAGGAAAGTAAACGAACTCGACAAATAGTTTGTTGTGTTTTCATGACTTGGGCGACAGGTTGGAGAATTGGCGAGCAGTCAGTACGACTCCTTATATGGGGTCTAGAGTCTATATATGGTCTGATCATGTTCATTGGAATCTCTTTGCGTATGCGCATTACACTTCGTTTGCTATTTGGCTACTCGAGTTGCAAATTACTTTTGAATCGCTTCACCAAGCTGTTGGCTGTCACTCCCCAGAGAAGGATGCATCAAGTTTCTGCTAGGGCACTTCAGCTTCATAGAACTGGGTTTTAGCAGTACAAGCAGTCATTGAAGTCGTTCGTTCACTGATTGAACTAAAACTTCGCCCTTACTTGACTGAATCACTCAAAAAACACGCACCTTTAATCCATACAAATGACTATCCAGTCAACCACGCACATGCTCCCTCAATCACCCATTCAATCACTGTTTGCATCACTTCGTCATTCACTCCAAGACTGGACTCACTCACCCACTCATGAATGCAACGATCAACCAATCCGTCACATCCCCACCCCCTGTAGGCCTACCGATTCCTACTGCTTTCTCATCCTTTTGCCCCACGCTTGTCTGGACTCTACCGCTACCACTTTTATAATTCAAGAGCACAATGGTTGCATCTATCAGCAAGCCCAAACGTGCATTTACTGCAATGCAAGACTCAATGCTTCCAACAGAGATACTGCAAGCAGCTAATTATTTTGAAGCCGGATGAGTCACTAAGAGCAACAAGAATTGAAAAACAAAGCCGTGAGAGCTTCGTCGAATCCCCAACCTTGTTGACGTTTTCAGCTGTGGTCCTGTGGCCAGAACTGCAGTTTCAAGCATTAGGTCAAGAATGGTCCCGGAGGTTGAGGTGAATGCACAAGAGGACTGAGGAACGTTGAGGAACTGCATGCACTGAAAGGTTCAACACATCTGTGGACACATGGCAGCCTTGCAACGGAAACTCTTAACTTGTTCGCTGCCGCCACTGCACCTGTTTGCTGTAGCAATCACGACGGGAACGAAAAACTGATGCAGTCAGTGAATGAGAATTTTCAGGGGATATGCACTGTGAGACTTGGGACTAAGATTTTGATTTCAATGGGCGTTCTCCCTTCATCATCTTCTTGCCATGTGTGGCAAACCTAGCAAATCTACATTGGCCTTAGCAAGACCCCTCCATCTGAAATTCAAAGGTGACAGTCACCACTTACTTGAGACAACTTCGCTCGTGGTGGTCACGAATTATTGCTCTGCAACTAACGGCATCTTTCCTTGGGCGTCACAAATATGAAACAACCTCCACAAAGGTTTTGGAGAAGCTGGGGCAGTAAGCCTTCTCCACTTTCTCAGCAAGTATGGGCACATGACTAATCCTCTCTAGGCTGTTCGTCGTTCAAAGAATCACCCGTGCCCCCCGTTGGCCTTGGAGCTCTTGCTTTGCTGCAATGAGCTCCTTCAGGCATCTCAAGGCATCTGAAAGCATCTCGAAGCATGTCTCTGCTGCGAACACGAAAATCACATATGTTTTCTCCTGCTCCATTGATGTGACTCGGTGTAAGCGTGATGTGACGGCCTTGGGCGCATCAATTTGGCAATTATGGTTGCCAACTGTGCTGCTGTTGTGCCTCCATTTGGGACGACCTCTTGGTACTCGCGGCCTCGTGAAACACCAGCCAGGTGTGAGTGCAAAGCTTGACAAACGTTGAGTGAAGGAAAGTTACACCAACGACCGGAGAAGGTTCGCTTGCAAATTGCTGATCAAGCAGAAGGCCTCCAGTGCCTGCTGCATGTGCTCTATTCGCTGCCTTGCTTCCTGCCGACAGCCTCACCAAGGGACCAAGGGATCAGGGAATCGAGACTCTCCATATGATTCCGATTCTGTCTCCCCCAAACCTAAGCAGATCTTCAAGCCTAGCCTTCAACATCATCTGCTGCTGCATCTATTTCGGCCTAGCATTTTGCGGAGCATTTTGCACGTCCCCTAACTCATTCTAACTGGCATTGCACTGGCACTTCACTAAGGCTGTTGAGCAGAAAATCCTAGCCCGCAGACTGGGAGACGCGCCAACTCGGAATCAAGTTGACGCTTGGCCTGCAACACAAACAGGCACAATGAGGCACAAGCTTGCGAAAACAAGGCGAGGACTCCCAGCTTTCCATTTTGCTCTTCCTTCCTATTGTCTCAGGTTGCAAGAGGTGTGCGAATCTAGTCTATTTGCTCCTCACAAGAGAAGTCCTGCTGCATGCCCAATCCTATTCAGTCTTGCTTCGGCTCGCTCGCATTTTCACCCAGCTCAAGTCATGTGCAAAGGCATGTCAGCTGATCTTCCTCACACGGGTCCTGAGACACGACCTCCATCAACTAGCCAAGAGCAAAAGGGAAATACCTTTCCTTGACCACCTTGCGCTGATCTTCGTAGAAAGACATTGATTTCTCCTGCGAAAGCGGCGAGACATCCGAGAAGCCAGCAACGCTCACATATGAATGCAATCCAAGGAAGAGATATTGGTAATTCGTAATTGTCATTTCACCTGACGACAAGAGTAATCATCTCAGATTAGAAAAAAAGAGTCAAGTGCGCAAGGAGGGCACTGAGGAAGCTTAGGCTAAAGATCCCTCAAGTGGGAACTTCTGTCTACAGAGCGGAAACGAGCAAAGGCCTGGGGCACACGAATCAGCCCTGACTTGCTCAAATGGACCAACTGAGACCGAAACATTTTTGCGCAGAAGATGCTCTTTGCCCTGCATGAAATAGGTACATGGTGCCGGGTGCTTGTAGAAGTACTTAGAGCGCAGGCAATGTGCTGGATTCAAGTTGAACCAGGAAGGTGCAATAGATCCAGCCACCTGGACGCACCACGACTTCATCTCTCTCTTTACATCAAAAAAACAAATCAAGAGTAGCTCAATACTACGACCTCAGACGCCCTTGAATGCGCGATAATTTTTCAACACCCATCTCAACGACATATGATTTTCCTTCCAGTTTGGATATTGTATTTTAGTCGTTGATTTTTACGAATCGATTTTTATGGATTGAGAAAACATATGATCGATCGACCAACGTCCGCTATGACGTTGACACTTGCCAAGGACATCAAGGACTTGGCACCTGGTCATATGTAAATTTGGTAGGCTCATGCTCCTTCACGTTGCCCAATTTTGGTACAATTGTCCTCAATCAAGTTCACAGAAAGAGCATGAAAGAGCCAGCTTTGTTGAGTACGGCAAAGGAACATGGCACAGCAAACACACATGTTTGGCACTTCTCATTTCTTCCACCAAGCTTCTGCAGTATAAACCTTGGATCCAAATTGTTGTCCATGATAGCAGCTGCAAAGCAACAACTGTTTCATCCACCGCACCAAAAGCATTGAAACACACAACCCACACCGAATTCCACCAAGCCACCAATGCACGGCAACATGGAGAGTGAACGCCAGCAGCATGGATAAGCCCAACGAAGTGTCCTCCAAACGATCCGAACGTCTGATGGGTACTGAGGTAATCTGTAGAGTGGTGCTGAGGCCTGCGAAGAACTGCAAGAACTTGCTAGGTGCAGATCGTGCAGTGTCCAACCGAACCCAAGCAGGTGCAAAGTAGTCAACGTCTACATCTTGCTTTGGGTCTTAGGGTCATGGAATCTATGAGGACACATACATTCACCATGCCAATAGATCCAATAGTATAGATGTCATGGTCCTGGACGCAAAAGCTCGAGGATACAGTACAGTTGGCTTTGAGGACGAAAGCCTATGCTCAAGGAAATTCTGCACTAGCGGCCATGGCGGCCATGTGTGAGAGAGGATGAGACAGGTGATTGGATCTTGCACAGGCAATTCATTTTTGATTGGCTCAAGGAACGGCAAGTGTCAAAGCACAGGGCAGGATCAAGAGCATCTGTCCATAATCATCCACCACTGAACCTTTGTGAACGAACGCAAGCCTTTCAGTGGCATTCTTTCAGTGGCATTCGCTCGAACTCTTTGCCGCTGAGATTCTGCAGAAGCAAAATGACGGCACACATCGCAGTACCCGGTAGTGGTCAAAGCGTATAATGAACCTCAGACTTTGCAGATTTTTGAACTTGGTGTTCATGTTAGAACTTGAAGTGTGCAGCCTTTTTGACTTCAAACCTCAAACTCCAAGCGACACGTGTGACAGCGCCAGAGCTATGAAGAGGGGCAGCGTGTAGCCGCCAGGCAGGAAGAAAATAAGGACTGCAGCTGTGATATTGATGAGAACATCTGCATATCTCCCTGAATCCATAGGCACCAGAATCTTGAGAGCCTCACAACTTGGATTGATGCTGAACAAAATCTTAGTGAAATGTTCACCTTCACATAAGCAGAAGCTACCGCGCAACCAACATCCCACAAGTCCCACAAACATCATCAAACATCCACAAGCCACACCTGCTGTGCTCTGAAGCCTTTGATGTGTGAGAAGCTCAAAACCACTAGGCGTGCCAAATGCAGTGTGAAGCAATTTGCACCAACGGCTTCTCCTGCGTCACTTTTGGGAAAGCAAACTCAAAGACCATGAAAGACAGTGAAAGACCCTGAAAGAGCCAGATCCTGTTTGGCATTCCAAATGTACTTAAATGAAGTTGTCAAAACGTCGCTTCCACCTATGCACCTTTGGTTCAGATTCATGCATGCAATTGCACCGTGGTTGAACAACTGAAGAGGCCGGCCAGTGCTGTTTCAAGAAGAGTTGCGACAGCAATCGCTGCCTACAAAGGGGATGAGGAACATTGCTGGCCAGCAGTACTTAAAGACGGCGAGGCCAAGTTGCCGCCTCAAATCAGTTTCACTTGAAAGAATACAAGGAAACGATAGAAAACGCTTAAGAATCTTAAGAAAGAGTGAAAGGAAACACTCAAAAAGCAGTAGCACGATGGGGGATAGCAATCATTGTTGAGTTTGAATCTACACGCTAGACAACGCGATGTTTGAGCGAGGCCGTTTAAGAATGTGTGTTTGTGTGTGTGTGCGTAGTATAGCCAGTCACGCACCTTCACATTTTCTGCAAGTTTCTTTGATCTTAAGATGGCAGGGAGCGTGAATTTCAAAATCTATGCTTCGACTATCTTTCGCAAGCGGAGAGGCTGAAAAAATGTTTTGCGTCTATACAGAAGGAGTTGACGCGAGGGCTTACCCAAGTCTAGAGCATTCTAGAGCCAGAAGCCTGATGATGTACACTACCGCTCTAGTTTTGCCTCCTCTAGTTCTCGTTAGAGCATGAGTGAAGAGTCTGCTGAAATACATTTTGATGTTTTAATTGGCTTCGGAGATGGCGTTGGGCCTGGCGAAAGGAGCCAGGCACACGCACACACACACACACACCCTAGATGGACCCTACTTGGGTAAGGTTTCAAAGCTACTAAAAAGCCTGTTGCAGTGCCTTTGATGCAGCAAGCAGCTGGATTTCAAAACTCTCGAAGATCGCTTGGGCGCGGGTCAAGTCTGCAATGAGTGTTCCGCCATATGTCCGCGCTCGCTGAGCAACCTTGGATACAGCTGTTTGACAGGAAGGGATTTAGGAGGTTGCACACACGACATGTCAGGATCAAGCTGCGGCTGTGCGATAGGCAATACTCCCAGTCAGGGCTGCATCCAGCAATATGTTCACCAAAATGGAAAATGTGTACAGGACCTCGGCTGCAGCATGCACTAGCGCACATCAAATTGATGAGAACTGATACATACCATTATACTGTGGCATACTGTGGCCGGCAAACGCTTCAGAAATACATTTAGTTGGCATTTCGACATCTTCAAAGAGATGTGCTGACCCTATAAGATCTATCTCGGGGCAAGCAGTGTCTGGTCTTCTCTCGTGCAGAGCAAACATCCAACCGACCGTTTCCGACACGCTTCCTCAGCAACGTTGCAACTCAGGCGCGGACCATGTAAGTTCCCTCCTGTGAGTCACGAAGCATAAAGCCGACCCTCCCAGCTGCTTCTGCACATGTTGTATACATTACCAGGTTGCCAAGGACAACGATGATCGTCAAAGACATTGTCACAGCTACAGACGGCTTGTCGCCATTTGAGTAGGAGAACGACGACGTATACTGGGCAAAGGGCATGTAGATAAGCACTGACCAGGCAAAACTTGCCAAGAGGATCATCTTGATGGCTGCCCAAATCCGTTCGCGTTTCTTCTTTCTTGGAATTGCAAGATTCTGCCAACAGATTCCCATGGGTTCAGATTCCAAAGCTTGCACCTGCAGTGTAGAGCCTCGAAAGGAGATCTTTTTCTTCGAGTTTACTGCTGCATCCCTTCCACTTTCTGTCTTGAATACAACCAATGCCGCGGGAGAAGCTACCAGACTCTTGGAAATGCTTTCGGCCGAAAGGGCCTCTGGAGCTGCCGGAATCTTGCTGTGCTCTGTGAGATCAATTCCCAAGACCTGGGTCAACATCAACTTGTCCATACCTTGAAACCACTTCCATCGAGCAGAGCTTTGTGGTCCTGCAGCACCTTCATCAGCGCCGTCGGCCTTGCTTGCAGGCTCAAGTGCCATGACGTCTTCCGCGAGGATCTCCAGGATTCTGTCGGAATGCTGTGCAAAATCCCAGCCAACCGAAACGCCAACTACATCCTGAGCTGCATCACAACCCACTGCTGATCTATGAGATATAGTTCACCCAAAGAATACCCAAAGCACTTTCTTGCATGTAATTGCTGCAAAGGTATTTTATTTGATGCTTTCCAGTAAGATTTTGCTGGATCCATAGAAGGTCAGCCCACTTCATTTCCCTATCAGTCTGCTAAGGAAGCGAGAAGTGCAAGTCTCTGGAGGGATTACCACCATAAAGCATTATGTACATGAGCTCGTGCTCTCACCCCTACATGTCAGAAGGCAACCCAGAAGACTTTGCGGTAACACACAAAACAGGGTGATATGATATGTATGAAAGCCCGGTAGCTGTAAGGGACTCTTGGCTGATTTGAAATTGATAGCTTACATGCAGGAATGCTATGATTGCCTCCAAGGTTCCTGCGACAAAGCTGTCTGAAGCTCAGTCTTTAGGATCTCCTCAAGGTTTTCGGAGCCGGAGATAGGTGGCAAGCCATCCACGTAAGCAACAAAGTCTGCATGTGCGGCGTGCAGGTTGAGTCCTTAGACAATTGCAAGCGCTTGCAAGCGCTTGCTAGCGCTAGGTAGAGCTGCTAACTATTGGTCTATGAATCAACTTCCTCAGCCTGGAAGGAAGCAAGTAAGGCTCCAACGGTGGAAAGCTCGCTGCTGCAAAATGCCAAAGCCAATGCAAAGAACAAATGAAGTCACATAAGCTGTGGCCAAGAAGTAAGCCTTTGTGGACATCAAACTCCGTTGCTGCTCATAGCCCCGGTGGATCACTGCACAAAGCTCTCGTGGAGATTGGGGATTTTCGGTTCCGAGAGCATACAGAGAGCCGTCAGTTGAGGAAACAAAGGCCACCTCAGCCATTGAAATGCAAAGAGTTTCCGAGAAAACTGAGAATACAAGTAGCACAAAACAGAATTTCTATTGGGATTGGACTTTGACACGTTCATTGCAACCCAAATGCCCAGAGTCCAGCGATCACCAGCGCCCAGACGATGATGAAAAGTTGGTAGCGGAAGAACAGCACAGAGCCGGGACCAGCTACAGGCACCTCAGCAATGTTGCAGCTTCTGAGAAAAAGGATCTGGAAGGATGAAAGATACATCATGAAACCAACATGAAATCCAAATCAACTTTGGTGGATATTTCAGTATATTTCATATGTTCTCATATTTTCAGTTCCAGGAGGGTCACTCCACTCACTCCACTCACTCCCGCAAGCTTCTACCAAGGAGCTGCTAAAGTGTTTGTCTTCAGGGGCCATAGCTGGCGTTCCTCGCCTCGCTCCTCCCCCAAGTCCGGCTTACAAAGCTTCGTTTGAGTCCTGAATTGTAGAGCTTTCCTTTCTTCCTCCACATTCACTTTGGGTCGGGCTGCCAAACTTGCATACCATGCCACAAAGTAGATGATGGGGAACACATAGGTATGTGATGATATAGATAGGTATGGCTATATGTATATGATATAGATAGTAAGATCGGTCAGTTTTACACACATATATAACTATACAACTATATTTGTGACACCGCCACTTCCACACAGAGTTGATTTTGCAAAAAAAAATAAAAGTCAAAAAAAAGTCAAAAACAGAGTCAACAACATAGTTGTTAAAACAGTCAACTGAAAAAAGGCAAATCAAAAAGAGTCAAAAAAAGTCAAAAACAGAGTCAAAAAACACACAAAAAAACACATACAAAAACATAGTCAAAAAAAGTCAAAAAAAAGTCAAAAAAAAGTCAAAAAACAAAGTCAAAAAAAATCAAAAAAAAGTCAAAAACAGTCAACCTGCAGCAAAATGCAGCAAAATGTAAGAAAATGTGGGAAAACTCGGAAAAAGGATCAAAACTAGGAAAAACAAGGAAAACCTAAGGCAAACCCTGCAAATGTGTAAATTTTCCTCCCCAAGAACCTTGCAGCAACCCATTCCAGCTGACCCACCTGACAAATCCAAAAAAGTAAAAAAAAATCAAAAAAAAGTCAAAAAAAATCAAAATTGTAGGCCTACTCTTTCTTGACTCCTTTTTTGACTCATTCTGTGACTGGCTCTTCCAGGCCTACTCTTTTTTGACTCCTTTTTTGATTCCATTATTGAATTTTCATTTTTTTTGACCAACCCCACTTTGTGCGGGACGATGGGATCACAAAACTATATAGATATGATATAAATAGGCAAAGATATGTAAGAATAGATATAGATATGGATATAGACATAGATGTGGATGTATAGTTATACATATACATATATTAGAATGTACAGATAGAGCCATCATTATATACATATTGTATGTATAGATATGGCAAAATAGACAGATATCTAGATATAGAAGTGAGATGTTCAATTCTATTTTGTAGATATTCGTAGACCATCCGGCTCTTGGGGCTGTTGTGGTGTGCCTGTTGGGTTGACCTTCATCAACGGTGGCCTTTAAGAAATGGGGAAAGTAGCGATCAACGGTGGCATGAATGGTCCGAAAATTCTTATCATTTCTAACTATTATTACTTCTAATGGTGTTTAATTGCAATAGTCAACTAGGAGTAGTGTCAAGAGGTTGATACCATCTAGAGTACTCAATTGGATATGTGTATATATACATATACATTTGTTTATTTTGTTTGTTTATCTATATTGCGTTGGGATGTTTACCACGAAGAGGGCACGGGGGGGTCAGATACCCATTCTAAGCTGCTCTTCATTATTGTTTTCCGTTGTTTGAGTCAGGCCATCACGTTTCACTCCGGCAGGCAACACGCCGTGGTGAAATTGCGAAGGTCGTCGCCAAGATTGTAAAATGGCATTCTGGTCCCTTGGCTTTCGCTGTCATTGTTGTGGATATCAATGTATCCTACAATACTACATACAACATACACAATCATAAATACATCTAGAATCAACCAGGGGTGTGTGTGTGTAGGTATATATGTATGTATATGATTAAATTATATGCTTATATATATATATGCATTTGTATGATATATCATATGCATATATATATACATACACCATATATATATATACATACACCATATATATATATATGTATATACATATACACCATATATATATACACACACACACTATATATCACATATATGCATATAATTACAATATACACTGATATATGTTACAACTATATTAAGTTGACAATTCATGGGCATGCCATGACGCCATGGTTCACAGCATCGCTGTGCCGCTGTTGAGGTGATGACCTTCTAGCTGCAGTCCGTGGATTCTTGCGAGCTTAAAAAATGGAGTGTCAGAGGGGCCCGTGGTGAACTTGCGCAGCAATCAAAACGGGGCCCGTGATTTTTCGGGGGAGATAATCCAGGAGTCATATGAGATAATCCATGGGAAATCCTCTAGATTTTCTGGCAACCTATGGTATCCAATTTTCAGACACCAGCTGGGTCTTGCGGACTCTTTTTGTCTTGCTGACCTGGTTTTGTAGAAGCCACAGAGAGCCATCTGTGGATTGGCATGCCAAGTTGCTAAAGAGACTTTTAGCCACGGTGTTTGCTCCCTGGGAAGCGCGGCACTGCATGACAGGCACCAAGTCATGAAATACCTCAACTCAACGCCTCTGCCGGGATGCCAAGGGCAGATATTCATCGGTTCCACATGGTTCCACATGGTTCCACTGCTTGGTGCGATTGGTTGGACAAAATCAGGATGACACCAAGCAATGGTTACCCAATGGTTCCTGAAACTGGAGCTCCCTTTCTAATCTATGGAATCTATGGATCACTATATGGTTAATCTATATGATCAATCACTAAATGGTTATTCTTTTCAGCATCAGTTTCCAGGCAAGCGCCAGAGCACTTCAAAGGTCGAGAACTGTTGCATCCAGGTGGCTGAGGGATGGCGGGATGGCGGGATGGCGGCTGGAGCCACACCTTGGGATCGATGGTGCTGGATGGCAGGTGATGACCCTTTGAAGTCGCTCATTCGACAAGCGAATGTTTGGATCTCAGTTTTTTTTTGGATGGGCAGCGTATTCATATCCCAGAGATGGAAACGCTCATTGACATAATTATACATATACTGTATATATAGCTGTATACATATTTACACTGTGAGTACTGAGTACACACTTGTATATTCATCAAACATGTGAGTCATACTTATGACTTTTTCGCTTTGCACACATTTCACATTGCCAGACATCGTCAGTTTGCGCGGCCGTCAGTTTGCCACACCAGGAAGAGGAGTCCTTCCGCAAGGCAACGGAGTTCGTTTTGCTGCATTCACCGCAGCAAGGGAACCTCAAAGAAGAGGCACCGCGCAGATGTGGATCATAGCAACATGCTGTTGGCCATCCTAGTTGATCGTTCTCAAATACTGTGACTTATAAAAAAGCAGAAAGGCTTGTTGTGGGCGCGGAAAAACAGTTTATTTTTAGAGATACCCCACTTAATCATACATACTCATTTGGTTGTTTTCTGTTTTGTCGTGTCCACAACAATCCTTCTAAATAGTAATATATGCATTATTCACTCAATGAAATCACTGTTGACTATTTGTTGTTTATTTGTCTTCATGCAGCTAGATTACTATGGATTAATCTGGATTAATCCTGGGGCCAAAAAAAACAAAAAAAACAAAAAAACCAAAGATTCCAAGACTAGTCTGATCACTGGAGTAGTTGCCAAATCTTTGGTTTTTTTTGTTTTTTTGGTTTTTTTGGTTCTGTTCGCCCTCCCCCCCCCCTCAAAGCAAAGGCTCTTCCCTGAAAGTTCAGGGCCCCCCCCTTTAGCGAATGCCCCCCTCCCCTAGCGAAGCTTTAGCAAATGCCCTCCCTCCCTTAGCGAAGACCGTTGCGCTGCCAGGCTGCCAACTCAAAGCTTCCCTCTCTTAGCGAATGTGTTGCCCTTCAGCCGAAGCCATTCCCATCGAACGGAGATGGTTTCTGGATTAATCTGGATTAATCCAGATTAATCTTAAGCAAT